GCGAGAAGGTATTTGTTCAACTTATTGAACTTGATATCAAAATGAAACACGCTAGATGTTCTTGCATGTGTACTTCAATAATGCTCCTTATGGTTCATTGAAATTATACAAATGAAAATTGTTTACGTAATTAGCACAAATTCAAGACAGGCACAAATTTTAAAGAAGTATTATATATTTGTACCAAAAGTTTTCACTCGATGTCAGCCATTTTATGACCATGCTTTATACTTTATGCATATCAGTTTATTTTTAATTTTTTAATTTTAGGATACCTCTTAATCGAACAATTCTTGTTTGCAAAAAAATCAATTCTAAATAGACCGCAGCGTATAAGCCAAAAAGCAATGCAACAAATTACTGACAAGATCATCAAAATGTTTTCTTAACTAAAAAAATTGCAGCACAATTTTTCGAATAAGCCTGAAACTGAATTTTTCTTACAGTCTATCAAGTAAATGGAAGTTCGTCCGATTCTACACAAATTCAAGAAATTTCATAATGAAATAAGTTGTTCTGGTTTCGCGTTGTTTCGTAGACGTTGCCGCGGCATTCGACGTGTTACTATTACACATACAGATACTTTCGACTAGGACACTGTGAGCATAGTTATCGCGAGAGCGATGCACAAATCGTTTGATAAATCGGAAATGTCTGTTCGCAGTCGGTTCCGAGAATTCGGTGAATATTTCCGATGGGAAGGAACGGCGAAGCAGAAGAGGAGTACACGACGACGACGAAGAATACGAAGAAGAAGCAGAAGCAGAAGAAGAAGAAGAAGAAGAAGAGGAAGAGTAGAAGCACGCGGAGGCGGGTTTACGATATTCAGCTCGATCGATTCGCATCGCCCCTCCTTCATTTTTGTTCGGCCTTTGGTACAGAGGTCTTGGGATACTACGCGAGAGAGCCACGACCTCCTCCGTCGTTATTTATCGCCGATTATTTCATACGTTTTACTTTTTTCCACCGGAACGAGGCATTATTTCGGACGGCGTTGCCCACCTCTCGCTCGGGATAATCGACGACCTTCGGTCGAAAGAAATGCCCGCCGGGACCGGGGGTCAACCGGTTGTTCGAACATCTTTTCTGGCGACCGTGCACAATTATTTAATCCCTTCCTTGTATTCCTTTGCCGGCCGGGCGCGTTACGAAATAACGTATTAATTCCTCGGTTATCGGGGATAATAACAGTCGCAAGAAGTTATGGGACGATTGACCCTCTCGCCGTGCCGGAAGGTCAGTCATCTGCTACCTTTTTTAGCGTTGTGCGAGTCGCTTCTCAGTCGCGTTGCTTCGAATTAATGTGCCACGAATTGAATATGCATCGAAGCACAGTGAATTCTCCTCAATTGACGCACAGATTGTACAGAATAATGGACAATTTTGGGAAGAGGAGATACGATTATTCCCAAATTGTCCATTTTTGTGCACAATCTGAGCGTCAATTAGGCAGAATTTACTGTAATTCTGTTTCAACATTTCATAGAGAATGAGGACATCAGGATATAAAAAGAGATAATTGAACTATTTCGGCAACAAATTATTAGTTCATAGCTTTCTTTCGCCTCGCTAAAGACTTTGGTGCATCGTTTCTCTAAACGAAATGATGAAATATTGAACACTCTTTATTTAATCGCAACATATTCTCCTTTCGCGACACGCGAGACCTTGGCACAGCACATCAGATCTCCAAGAAAAATTAGAAATTCTATTTTTAGTTAGCACATATATTTTTGTTTGCTCCACCGGTGCATAAAACTTCGATGCACCGTCTGATTTTGTATGAAAAACTACGAAATTTTAACAACTCTTTCTTCAGATACTACGATTACTTTGATTCCCTCGCATCATTTGATTCTCCCAGAAAAATTACAAGCTGCAATTTCAAGTGCATACTGCCTACGAAAAATTCGACTTTTAATTGATTCAGCAAATCGATTGTATCCAGCTTTAGGATGCAGCGAGAGCTTTCGGTGCTGGATGACTATGAACATTCGTTGCGGCGAAAGTGTTCAAATTATGTGATAGAGACTTCACGGGCACAGTCCAAGAAACGTCTACTCACCCACAAGCGGCACCATAAGCGTATAGATGGGTTGCGCGTTGGAAGTCGCCTTTGTGATATTCTGCAACTGCGGCAGGTAGTCGATGAAGCAATTAGTGTCCGGTACCAGCTGCCTTGGTCGTACTTCGATCTCTACGGACACCGACGAGTTCTGCAGAATTTGCTGGAACACAGAAATATCAGAGAAAAAAATTAATAATCAGACCAAACGATTCATTCGAATAATTCGTGAAATTAATATGGAAGAAAGAAATCGATAAACTATGAGAAAACAATTTAGGTTCTATCATTTTTATTCGAAGCAATTATTTTCTATATAAATTCCTGTACGAATGAATTCTTATCGGAATCAAATATTATTCGAGCGAATTCTTATTCGAACAAAATTTTATTCCGATATATTTTTATTATTTATGTTTTTTATTTATTTTATATTATATTTATTTTTTATTTATATTATATTTATATTTTTTTATCTTTATATATACATTGTTATTCGATCGGATATCTATTCGACGGCGTCGAATAAAATTATATTCGTTAAGTCTTCATCTTTTAGCCCGTCGTTCGAATAAAATTTTGTCCAACTCTCGAAGTCGTTAACGCGTTGCAAGGAATGCTTGAAAACAAAGTAGGGCGAAAGTGCATTTTCGACGGCAAATGCATACTAGTTCAAGGATCGAGAAGGACGCAGGACGGCGCGGAAGACGCATTTACCCAGCAATTGAATCCCACGTATGCACGCGGTGTGTTCCGTGAAACGATTGCGCACACCGCGGAGAACAATGTCGACTCGATGGTATAACGCGAATGCCAAGTAGCTATTGTTACAGCAAAGGATACGAACGTAATGAACCCCCTAATGCTACCCTTTGCTCGTGGGACGATGATCGATACGCGAAAGCGAATACTATAATGCATTAGCCTACTCTACGGTTCCGCTTCTTCGCGCATATAATAGAAAATATTGGTGAAATACGCAATCATGCTGCAGATTGCTCGGTGCATTCAAAATTACATGAAACGAACCCACGTTGTTTGCACTGTTTACGAACTTTACGGACTTATTTCATTATTATCGACTTTGATCAGGCGATAGTTTATTTTTCTGATCTGTATGTCTTATTAAAAATTAAAATTTCATTCGTTTTATCCAGAATTAAATCCGCATTAAATTTAATCCACTATTAAATTACAGATTTTTAAAGATGGTAACATTTTTTTATCAGATTTTTGTTACGAAATAGCTTTCGATAAATATGTATATGCATTGTATATTTATAATCTCGATAATTATAAATAATCTGAAATCATTTCGACGAGAGAGAGAGAGAGAGAGAGATTTTGATTGTAACAGTATTAAACTTCGTACGAATTTTCGAATGTAATAAGCTGACAGAGGATTTTATCCGTTCGCGAGGAAAATGAGTGGCTGCGAGTTGCAGTAGATGCAATTTAAGAGCAGCGAGGTGCATCGACGGTTAACTTTCGACACGGTGAATTTATTAACCCTTTGCACTCGAAGCTATTTTAATTATATTTTAAACATATTTTCTTTATGCATATGAAAGCCCAATGGCAAGTACAAAACGTGCAATTTTACGAGTCTTTTAGATATAAACGAGTCTCATAATGTTACAATTATTTCGAAAAATAGTAAAGCAATTTTTAGTGGCGCCTCAGAGTCGCCACTCGAGTGCAAACGGTTAACACTATAATTGTACATGAAATATTAACACTATAATCGTACAATTAACGATTACTGAAATTATAGAGACACTATTATTTTTATAGAATATATATAATCGATTAGAAATCGATTGTATCGAATTTATCAATAAATTTCATTCGATGGACACGTATTATAATAAAAATTCCTACAGACGTGAACGAATATCCTTGTTTTACGAAACCATATAAAACAACTGCGTACACGTAGCGTGAAAGCATGCCAGAAATTTGTAAGTGTCACGACAATCGCAAATAATTATGCATAAAACGACCACGGTTCGGTAACAAGTCGTTAGCAACCGTTTCGAACGACGAGTTCTCGCGCGTCAATTTTCAACTAGGCGAACAAAGTCGTTAGCGATTAGTGCCACCGTGCGCGCGCGCGCGTACGCGGCATAAATCACGACGCGGCGAACAATTGCATGGACGACGATCGCGTCCATTTCTGCGTAAACGAGGCTGCGTTTCCGAGCGGATAATTAAAATCGCCGCGCGCAAATGCTTCGCACCTGCGCGCCCACGCTGGATGTGCAGGGACGTGCAAGGTGTTGCGCGGGAAAAACGAACGAACAAGAAGAGGAGCCGGGGGATGACTCAATACACGTACAATCCCTCTGCAACGGTATCTTGGCAACGATTATTCGAGAGCCACGGGAATATCGTTCATTGTTCCCGCGCTCGCACATCGGCCGGTGGCAGACGAGAAGCGCGCGAGGAATCCGACGACAAGCCTAATTGTTCGTGGGAGTACACCGACGGAATGCGAAAATAAGTCCGGCGAACCCGTCCGTCGTTCCGTCACGTCACCGGGCTCAAATGTCGTACACATGTCGATACGTACCGGCCGCATAATGGATGGCAATGGGAAATTATTGCGAGAACGTACTGGCAATGAGACGGGCCCCATTAGGGGATTCGACGGGTTCCAATAAAGTTCACCGAATTGTTCCGCGAAAAGACCGTTTACGTAATTTACTTTTTCCCGTGACGGAAGTCAGAAATTATCGGAGTCTGTGAAGTCGCCAGGAATACTATTGGGTTGGCAACTAAGTAATTGCCGATTTGTTCAATGAAATAAAAAATTTTTTTTACTTGGGACGAAGTTTAATCTGTAATGTATTTTCCATTTTGTTCGATGACCTTTTGCCATCTCTCTGACAACTTGAACATTCCACGCTCGTAGAAAGTCTGATCCTTTTCGGCCAAAAATTGGGTTCAGTGAGATTTTACAGCGTCATCGTCATTAAAAGTTTTACCACGAAGGGAGTTGTCCAGGGATCGAAACAAGTGGTAATCCGATGGCGCGAGATCAGGGCTATATGGTGGGTGTAACATCGATTCCCAACCAATATCCATCAATTTTTGCCGAGTGGACAAAGACGTGTGCGGCCTAGCATTGTCCTGCTGGAAAATGACACCTTTACGATTGACCGATTCTGGTCGCTTTTCCTTGACCGCTGCATTCAATTTGCCTAGTTGCTAACATTCACGGCTAATAAAAAATAACATAATAATAATAATAATAATAATATTATAATATAACATTTACGGATATCATAAAAATGGGAGTGAGAGACATCTATAACTGAAATCGGCAATTACTTAGTTGCCAACCCAATATAAAGATGTACCCTATTCAGAATTTGTTTCATCGAGGGAAGAAATAACAAAGGTTAGCAGCACGAGCTGTTAGAAAATTTAATGAACTGTTCCAGAAATGGTTATAGTGCTTGCCATAATTCGACTGCGGATTCTATGTATTTATGGCAAGGATGTATACGCATGCCAGAATATTCATTATCCAGAATATTAGCAGGTCAGAATATTAATACTATTATCTTGAATTATGCATGCTTGAATATTCGACTAATTCTTTGAATAACGTTTCGAATCAATTCTTCGAAGGAAACTTCAAAGAAATTCTATAAAACAAAATTTTATTCGTTATTCGAATAACATACCATCAATTACATTATTTGCAAGTTTTTGGAACTGTCAGAAGAAGAAACACGCTTCGATTTAACTCTTGTTTCTTCTAACTGATGTACGAAAATTTTATTTTTCATAAAGATCGCCAATCTAGTCGTAACTAGACTGTGAATCTGTAAACAATTTAAAAATTGTCTAAGTCAATTACAAAAAAAAGTTGAACGACCACGTACATATTTTTCTTCTTTCAATAATTCAAAACAATCGAAAATATTCTTAAATTATATGATTGTCATTATAGTTTCGTATTTGACTAATTATTAGCAAATTTCTGGGACATTTTTAGCAAATCTTCAGATCGTTTCGAAACACGTGTTATTAACAGTTCACGTCGCATGGTAACGCGTTAATCGAACGAAACTCCATTAATCTCAATTTTCGCATAAAATTATATAATACGGTACACAATTAAACTATCAATCACAGAACCATCAATTATAGATACGCATATCGATTCAGCTTTCGATGTGCAATTATCGACGATCAACTGTCAACGTTTAATTATCGATTGCCAACCGTCAATGTTTAATTGTCCGGTATCAATTATCAATCTCCATTCGACGACCTTCAACTATGGATTATCAACTATAAATCTTGAATTATCTTCGGCTCTTCGGGTATAGATCATTAACTATCTTCGCCGATCGATCTTCGATTGCGCGTCACCTAATCGATCTTTTTATCAATTTTCAGCTGGTCGTTCGATGATGTCGCTGTCGGATGACAGTCGATCGCGTTTGAAAAGCCACTGAAATACCACGCTGCGGGCGACGTCTCGGGGCTAGACGGCGGCTTCGCTGAATGAATGAGGACACCTGTCTTTATATTCAGGTGAGCGCGTCGGTTATATTCGTAATCACGTGCGCGGGAACTGTTCCTTCTCGTTAGAAAAGAATGGCCACTTAAAGAACGATCGGAGGAGCGTCGGTTCGAAATTTTAAAATCGTTCTATTTTTTCGGCACTCAAAAATCCACGAACGCGCCATTGCGCAACGATTTATACATTTTCTGCACAAGAACCTGTTCGCACAAATTATTACCGTTCAACATTTATAATTTTACGTTGGAAACGATACGTTAGAACAAACGATGATTTTTTAATAAATAAATTAGTATCACAGAATAATCTTTATATTCCATTTTTATGTAAAAACTGTGTGAATAAATGTCACATTAGCAAAATGTGTACACTATTTGCGAGAGTATCACAAATTTTAGTTGCTTTATGAATTTTAGTAGTAGAAAGCGTTCATAATTTTTTAACACATTTTTGCTAATTGCTATTTTACATGGAAGCAAGGAATATAATTAATTTACAAGCTAAGTG